GTGCCCCGCTCCGGCCTCTCATGTTGCATCGTCGGCGACAACATGTCCAGCGCGCGGAATGCGCCGCGTCTCATTCCAGCCACGCGTGTTGCACCGCCAATCGTTTCGCTCCTGCCGCGCATGGAGGAGGGGGAGGAGGAGGAGGAGGAGGAGGAGGAGGAGGAGGAGGAGGAGGAGGAGGAGGAGGAGGGGGAAGGGAGGGAGAGAGGGAGGGAGGGAGAAACTGAGGAGGAAGAGGAACACGTCTCTTGGGAATTCGCGGGGCGTCCCATTCCCGCTGCGCGATTCACAGCGCCGACGAGGAGACAGTACATGTTGGCAAGACGTCGACGTTGCAGTGTTTTTTGGCAGGTAGGACGGGGGGTCCCGCGTAGGGTTGGCCAGGCGTCCGCGCGCGATGTGCTCCGCGTCACATTCTTCTACATTTTCTGCAGCGTCGACGACAAGAAAGTCAACGATGACGAAACACGTTGACTTTGTATTGATTTTAAATAGGTAGGACGCGACCACCCGCTTAGGGTTACCCAAGCATTGTTCATTCCGTCCCATTCTTCCCACACTTCTCGCAGTGTCGACGACAAGAAAGTCCATGTTGTCGAGAAAGACGTTGGTTTTGAATGACTTTTTTGATAGGTAGGACGCGACCACCCGCTTAGGGTTACCCGAGGGATGTTCATTCCGTCCCATTCTTGCTGCGCGCTTCGCAACTCAACGACATGCTGGCTAGGAAAAATGAGTTTGTGTTGATTGTTTACACTGGGGACGGCGGGGTTGCTATCGGTCGGCTAGGTGGGGGTTTGGCGGTGTTTAATCATTAAAAGTCAGATGAGGGTATTCGGGGTTAGGGGTTAGGGTTGAGGAAAAGGGGTTAGGGTTAGGGTTAGGGTTAGGGTAAGGGTTAGGGTTAAGGGTCATGGGGTTAGGGTTAGGGTCTACCAGGCGTGGCCACGAGCGCAACTGGACCGCGAACCCACCGGCGGTGGCCGTCACTCCCACTCGCAAGCCACCCCACCATAAAGATCATCTCTCCCCTCGTTATAACCACAGCGAATACAACGCCAACGACGACGACGACGGCGACGACTGATGTGCGATCCAGTTGGCACGCGAGTGCTCTCACGGGCGGGAAGAGTCGGGCAGGCGGACCCCAACGGACGGGACGGGTCGGGCAGGCAAAACGGACGGGACGGGTCGGGTCGGGCGAAAGAGATTCTGCACGCATGCGCAGCAAATGTTTTTTTTTGGAATAGATGGATCGGCTCGCAACGGGGGCCGGGCACTTTGTATGGTAAAATACGAGAGATTCGGCACGCATGCGCAGGAAATGCTATTTTTTGCAGCAGATGGAGCTGGTTCACATAACGGGGGGCACTTTGTATGGTAAAATACAAGAGATTCTGCACGCATGCTCAGCACATGCCATTTTTTGCAGTAGATGGAGCGGGGTCGCAACGTGGACCGAGCACTTTGTATTGTAAAATATAAGAGATTCTGCACGCATGTTCAGCAAATGTTTTTTTGCAGCAGATGGAGGGGGTCGCAACGGGGATTGGGCAATTTATAGTGTACAATACAAGAGATTACGCACGCATGTGCAGCAAATTCTATTTTTTGTAATAAATGAAGTGGGTTTGCATAACGACCGCTTTTGTAGGGTTTAGGATTTAGTAATTATAGGATTAGAAATTTAGGGTCGGCGTAAAAGGGGTAGGCTTCGGGCTTAGGGTAGAGGTTAAAGGGTATGGGGCTAGGGTTAGGGTAGGAGATAGGGTTGGGATTAGGGGTTAGGGTTTGGGTTTAGGCTTGAGGTTAGGGGTTCGGGTTAGGGCTAGGGGTTAGTGGTTAGGGGTGAGCGTTTATCGGGAGTCGACAGAACCCCCACCTAGATTCTTTTTCGATTTCTCGAGAGGGCGCCGCGGCCATCATTTTCCAGGCTTGCGCCCGCCAGGTTTGGTTTCGAGGGCGTTTTCACTAAGCCGCGTTTTTGCCAAAAGGGGGTTCTGTCCATCCCCGAGTTTAGGGTTGAGGTTACGTTAGGGTTAGGGTCGGGGTTAGGGTTCGGAGTAGGGGTTAGGCCTTGGTTTTGGGTGTAGGGTAGGGGTTAGGGTTAGGGGTTAGTGTGGGGGTTAGAGTAGAGGTTAGGGTTGGGGCAGGGGTTAGGGTAGGGTTGATGGGGTTAAGGTTAGGGCTTCGGGCTGATATTAGGGATTCGGGTTACGGTTAGGGGTTAGGGTAGAGTTTAGGGGTTACGGTTAGAGCATGGGGCTGGGGTTAAGGATTCGGGTCAGGGTTAGGGGGGGGGGTAGGGGTTAGGGGTTAGGTTAGGGTTATTGTTTAGGGTAAGGGTCATGGTTAAGGTTAGGGGTTAGGGTAGGGGTTAGAGCAGGGCTGGGGGGTAAGGTTAGGGTTTAGGGGGTTGGATTATGGCTTAGGGTAAGGGTCAGGGATTAGGGTCAGACTTAGGGGTTAGAGTAGGGTTATGGGTTAGGGTTAGGTCTTAGGCTTAGGGTGAAGGATTAGGGTCAGGGTTAGGGGCCAGGGTTAGGGGTAAGGGGTAGGGTTTGGGTTAGGGGTAGCGGTTAGGTTAGGGTTAGGGTAGGGGTCACGATTAGGATCAGGGTTTGGGGTAGGGGTGAGGGTTCGGGTAGGGGTTAAGGTCGAGGGTTAGGGCTTTGGTGATTAGCGTTTGAATTAGGGGTTAGTGTAGGGGTTTGGGTAGAGGTTAAGGTCAGGCGTAGGGCAGGTTCAGGGTTAGGAGTGGGGGGTTTGGTTAGGGGTTAGGGGTTAGGGCAGGGATTAGGTTGAGGTTAGGTGTGGTAGGGATCGGGTTCCGGAGCTTTGGGGCGGCGTGGCGAAAGGGGGGAGTTCGAATTTCACGCTCAAAGGAAGGGGGGGGTCCTGACCCCCCACCTTTGAAAAGGGGGGGGGTCCGCCGGCGACGGCTTGGGAAAGGGGGGGCGAGGGGGGGGTCCGCCGACGATGGAGCGGGAAGGTGTAGGGGGGGGAGCGTCCGCCGACGACGGATCGGGGAACGGGAGGGGGTGATTGGGGGGGGGGTCCCGGAACCTCCCCCTTTGGGTGATCCAGCGGCGCGCCCTCCCTTATTATTTGTTGGTGTGTTTGCCAGTACAAATCCAGAGGTCTGCGACCCGAGCGTTTTCGGTGCGACCTATGCTGTCGCCGTAATGCGTCGTCAGTTTTTGTTGCCCCCCCTGTCTGATATCGTTGGTTGTCCCGTGGTTGTCGCCAACACGTCAGGCCGTTTGTTCACAATAGCTTTGGGCGTGGTGTCCTGGGTGCTGGCTTGTGTAGGGTGGACGGATGGGGGGTCCAGGCTCTTGTGAGGGGGGTGGGGGGAGGGGAACCTCCTCCCTGCAGGTTGGGACCTGGCACTCAATATCACCTGCGCCCAGGGGGCTGGTTGGATTTGCGCATGATTTGGCATCCCGTGCCTTCCTGCTTCGCAGAGCAAAGCCACAAGATGCGGTGAATGGACCGCAGGGCGTAAGCGTCTCAACAGCGTCTCTGGATACATCTTCTTTGGCGGGAGTAGCCAGGGCGACCCTGGTCGCAAATATGACGCTCGTTGACTTCTCGAGTGCCCGTCCCGTGAACCGCGTCGTCCCTTATGATTTCGTTGAGAACCAGTCGACAGTATGCCACTAATCCTACCTTTGCCGTTCCTTTGTGTACAAACTTGGGGAGAGTCAGCATGTATTACGCATTTGTGTGTGTATGTTGTGTGTGTGAGTGTGTGTGTGTGTGTGCGTGTGCGTGTGCGTGTGCGTGTGCGTGTGCGTGTGCTTGTGCTTGTGCGTGTGCGTGTGCGTGTGCGTGCGTGCATGTGTGTGTGTGTGTGTGTGTTTGTGCGTGCGTGCGTGCGTGCGTGCGTGTGCGTCGTCGTGGGCTTGCTCGTTGCAGCGGATTGAGACGGAGCGTAATCGCACGCGATGCCAACGTCGAGACCTTCGCAATGTTAGATACGTGCGGGGAACAAAGGAGCAATATTCCTCCCTCCCCCGCAATTGGGGGGGGAGTTCAAACCATATCTTACGCGTTGTTGTTGCTTAATTGCTTCCGACACCTGCTGCGCCATTTGTGGTGCCCATTGAGTGCATCTTTCTGCAAGATATTATCCTCGACGATCTTGCGCCATTCTTGCAGCAACGCTGTTCTCTCTGGTTCCAGGTTCGTCACTCTACCTTGCCGTTTCAATATTTGTTGGTCGTAGTCTGTCTATTGGCGCCTGAGAGCGCTTGTACATTTAATGAGATGATATGTTGACCAATCGGTTTTCTCTGTGCGATCTCCTATGGGAGGAATTGCCCTAACTTTGCCGGCGTAGTTTTTCACAAGGTCGTTCTTTGCACAACATTTTGGAATCGTCCGGCTCCCTCTCTCCAACCCCCGATCCCCCGTGCAGTGGACTGTACGACGACACCACGGCGGTGGAAGCAATCGGATTCGAAGAATAATAAAACGCCACAAACATGAACTTTCGGCGCTCCCGCGGATTTCTTGGATCGGCGCCTGGGCCTCCGCTCCACGCGCCAGGCAGGCAGGTCCAGCGCAGATCCAAGAAATCCGCGCGGAGCGCCAAAAGTTTATGTTTGTGGCGTTTTCTCTCCTTCTGCGCAGAGGACCCGTCAGAGCGGTAAGGGAGTGGGAAATTCTCTGTCTCAGGCGACCGAATGAGCCGCGCCCTGGCGCCTCCTCCCGGCCCCGCGCGCTGCCGCCATCTTGGGCGAACCGGGCGCTGCCTTCTTCGGGAGGGGAGCAAACACAGACACGATCCATCGTAGATCCCCAGGAAAACGTGGGAAGTGTGGGAAGTGGTGGGGCAGGCGAAAACCAAGAACACGTCGGAAAATATGGGGCATCCCAGGACTTGTGTCTGTGTATGTGTGAGTGTGTGTCCCTGGGCCCCTTCGCTCCCGTGCAGCTGCGCCTCCTGCCCATCCCCCGTGCCCCTCCCGCCTCCTGCCCATTCCCCCGTGCAGCTGCGCCTGGGCTTCGGGACGATCCTCTGGACCAACATGATGTGGGCAGGGCAGGGCCGCCCGCGGTCCGGCTCGGTGCGGTTCGCTTCGCCAGCTCGGGCCACGCTTCGCCGACGACGACAAGGACGCCGCCGCCGACGACGCCGATGACGACGACGATGATGGCGACGAGGGCGCCGCCTACGGCGACGCGGCCGACGCCGCCGACGACCCCGCCGACGACGCCGACGACGACAAGGGCGCCGACGACGAGGACGCCGACGACTCGATCCGCGGACTCGATCCGACTTGGCTCGATTTGCTGGCGTCGGCAGGGGCCAGCTGGAGGGAGCCAGGCGCGGCGGTCCGATTTCGATTCGGTCTGGGGCGACTCGCAGGTGATTCGGTTCGGCGTGGTCCGATTCGCGACGCCGCGGCTCGATTAGGGGCTCCATTGCAGGGACTGCAGAGGCATCCCGAGCTCGGACGAGTGCTCCACTTCCTCATCGTCCACGACCAGGGTTCGCAGCCTGCCTCCTGCTCGAGCGCAGGTGCTCGGAGGCAGTCAGGGGGAAGTAGTGACCATGGACTGTTTCAGGATTGCCAGGCCATTGGTGATACAGTCAACGCGCCTAGTAAGGACGCGCGCCTTCATCTAGGGTACCCTTGCGTACTTTTCCTTTGCGGCCCGTCCTTTGCCATTTTCACTGGCTGGTCGCCCGCCGCCCAAAAAAGTCTCGACTTCGGCTCCAAGGGTCTTGCGTCTTGCGGCCCCACCACCCGTCCTTAATCCACGTTGTGACTGTAGAAGACACTTGTTCGGACACTCCTGCTCCTCCTCGGGCTGCTCCTTATATGGCGCCTTCTCTGGGCCTCCTCAGCCGCTCCTCCTGCTCCTCCTCCTCCTCCTCCTCCACCTCCTCCTCCTCCTCCTCCTACTCCTACTCCTACTCCTACTCCTACTCCTACTCCTGCTCCTACTCCTACTCCTACTCCTACTCCTCCTACTTCTTCTCCTCCTTCTCCTTCTCTACATCCTCCTCCTCTTCCTCCTCCTCCTCCTCCTCCTCCTCCTCTTCCTCCTCCTCCTCCTCTTCCTCCTTCTCCTCCTCAGCCTCCCCAGCTGCGTGTTTCATCCTTCACAGTGGAGGCGACAGCTCTTGACGAAGCGGCCGGCCCAAGCCGTGTCCAGTTCAGCAGCCGGGAGCAGATTGCCCCCCCCCGGCAGCAGAAGGCTCACGCCGACAAACTGTTGCATCTCTCGAGGCTGGTCTTCAGACGCATGCTTCTGAATTCCTCCCCCCCTCACCCAATCTACCCATTGGTCGTTGAAAGCAGGTATTTTTGGGATTCCCAGATTCCAAGCTACTTCAAGCGCTTGCCTACTTCAATGATCGAGTGGCTTCACCTTTGCCGTCCTCTTTCGGGGGCGGGCGAACACCCAATTTGCTCTCAACGCCTTCCTACTTCATGGTTCTACCTTCTTCTGCCGACCGATGGGTATTGAGAGCATGCGAGGAGTACCTCTTGGGATTCCCCAAGCGATCGACAGAGTGTTGCACCAACGAGTTGTTTCGGCGAGCCTGGGCCGTAGCCAAGATTAGATCGGTGGGAGGTGGGTGGTGGTGGTGGTGGTGGTGGTGGTGGTGGTGGTGGTGGTGGTGGTGGTGGTGGTGGTGGTCACTGCACAGGGGAAACAAGTCCCGAGCAGAGCAATACGCACCACGACCACGACGATGCCGACGACGACGACGGAGATGAGGCGCGCAGACGAGCCGCACCGAAGCACGGATTTGGGAAAGGGTCCACCCTGCAGGTTCGGTTGAACAACACATCGTTGTGTGGTGCTACAGCCTCCCCTGAGCACAGGCTGGGGGAGGGGGGGATGGGAAAAGACACGTCAATGACGAAAGCAACGTGCAGTGTCGTAGGCACTGGGTCGTGCACCACGAGAACTGCGGACCCTGGGCCACCGATTCCGGACACGCCCGACTTCAGAGACAATCTGTAGATTCCTTACAGACAAGTTGTTCAGTGAATGGCCGTCACGGGAACGTGTTCGGCTTCCCAAAGAAAGGAACGATTGATTCGGCCGTGAACATTTGGCAGGCCAGGCTTTGTTCATGACGCTTCGTGCGTCCTCATCGGCCCATCCAGAAATTTTGGGGCGATGTTCAGGCCTCCTGGGCGGTCTCGGACGCGCGGAAGAGCGAAGAACAGAGACTTCCCCAAATCAAGGAATAATCATGGAACGTCATGATTTTCTTGCGTTTCGAAAGCTTCTTGGGGGTCTTCTTTGGGTCGTCTCCAGGCGTCTGGTGGGTGTCTGGGGCTTCTTGGGGCCCTCGAGGGTCCGTTCGGCCGTCCTCCTGACCGATTTGGGCCCCGTTGCCTAGATCCAGCAGGGTCCTCCTGCAGGGGCGCCCAGGGGCCCCCTAGAGCCACGGATCTCGGCGTCTATGTGTACACGTATACCCTCACTGCTCTTCCATTCGACCTCCTCATCCCTCCAGCCGCAATAACATCTCTCGGTTCTTTCTGCCTCGATCTCTCTTTCCCTCGGAGGAGGAGGATACATTAGGGAGGAAGGTTCATCTCCCAGATAGCAGCCATCGTCGGTTGAGGCAAGAGAGCTTATCCTTGTATCTTTCGCTGGCTTTCCTCTCTGCTCACTGGTTCGCGTGCGGGGAGGCTTCCTCCGCTACTCCGCTATGCCGCAAAGTATTTCCGGGACAGGCGCGTGTGCCGCCGTGTCGCCTTTGGAGGGGGGGGGGGCTGGCTGCGAGGAGGCGGAGGTGCACGAGGAGAAGGGGGAATACACGGATGGATAAGAAGGAAGAAGGAGGAGAAGGAGGAGGCGGAGGAGGAGGAGTCGGAGGAGAGTGAGGAGGAGGAGTCGGAGGAGTGGGAGCAGGAGGAGGAGGAGGAGGAGGAGGAGGAGGAGGAGGAGGAGGAGGCGAGGAGGAGGAGGAGGAGGAGGATTCAAGCTGGGATTCAATCGGAGCAGCAGTGTTGCGGGCCGCGGGGGAGGACCGAAGGACACGAGCCTTCGGTGACCCCTCCCCCGACCTCTGCTGGCCTCGGGGGAGGACCTCAGGACACGAGCCTGTGGGAGCCCCTCCCCCGTCCGCGAAGACCTCGCCCAGCAGCACCTCCACCTCCAGGAGCAGGGTGCCACTCAGGGAGAAGCACAGCGGGAACGAGCTCAGCTGCGCACGGCCAGCGGCACGCCGACCGAGGCGTGCACCGCGCAGGACCGCGCAAGCGGCACGCACTCCAAGACCATGCAACGGCGGCCGTTGGCCTCGTCCACTTCGAAGCTCACGTCCGCCTGCACGGCAGTCTCGTCGCACGGGCCGTCAGCTGGCTCCTCCACCATGTCGAATGGCAGACCAGCCTTGAGCAGGCCGAAGTAGTTCATGCCCCTCTGCGCCACCACGCTCCTCGGCGGGACGGCAGGGGCTGCCTGCGGGAAAGCACGCCCAGGAGCATGCTCGATCTCCGCGGGTATCTTCGGCTCCTCGTGATCCTCCACCGTGTCGTACTCCTCGCACGGCTCGACTTCCTTCGACTCGATCGCGCTATCCTCGCACCAGACGCCGTCGTACTCTGCGACGGCGTGGCAGTCCTTCCCGTCGCCTACGCCCTCGGCTACCGCCAGCGGGTCCAACACCGCCAACAGCTCGTCGACATCAGCGCCCAGCCGAACAGGATGCTTCGCAGCGCCAGGCACGAACGGCGGAGCCGCCGTGTTCCACACTGCGGGGCTTTGGACGAGCGCTGCAGACTTGACAACAGCCTTCAGCCCCTCGGCCACGCGGATCTTCACGATGCAATCGACCGCGTCGGCGTCGTGGGTCATGGCCGTGACTTGCTTGCTCGCCGCAGCGCCATCCAAACGCGGCCCGCGCTGGGCCACGCGGAGCGCCGTTGCATCAGCGAACACCAGCTGCGCCCCTGGCGTGGCTGCATGTAGGCCAGCGTTGCGCCTCAGCCTCTGCAGCCACGTCGGCGCGCGTCCCGCCACCAGCGCTGCCAGAGCTGACAGCAGGCAGCGGACTCGGGCGGCGACCTCGGCGTCCCCGACGATCACCTGGAGGGCCTCCTCCGCCTCCTTCCTCTTGCGGTCAGCGTCCCCTCCCCTGCCTCTGCAGCCGCGCGACTAGGCGATCCGCCGCCGCACGGGATTCAGCAGCGCCGCGCAGCGCCGCCGTCGAGCCCCCCCCCGCAGCCATCCCAAGCGGTCCCGCGCGGCCGAAAGCGGGCGGAACACACGGCTTGAGCCAAAATGGCTACGGAGGAGGAGGAAGAGGAGGAGGAGGAGGAGGAGGAGGAGGAGGAAGAGGAGGAGGAGGAGGAGGAGGAGGAGGAGGAGGAGGAGAGGTTCGGGATGCGGGACGTGGGAGGTTGGATGCAGGAGGAGTGGTCGGGGAAGGGTGGAGAGGGGGAGAGAGTGGGAGAGGGCAGGATGGAGGGAGGGGGGAGGACGGCGATGCGAGGGTGAGGGGGAATGGGTCGTGGAGGGAGGAGGGACGAGGGAGGTTGAGGAAGAGGGGGAGGATGAGGAAAGAACGAAGGAGGAGGAGGAGGAGGAGGAAGATGAGGAGGAGTGCAGGAGGAGGAGGAGGAGGAGGAGGAGGAGGAAGAGGAGGATAAGGAGGAGGATGAGGAAGAGAATGAGAATCAAATGGAATGGAGCCTCGTGTAGAGCTTGTTCAGCGCCAAGAATATGTCAGCTTGGAATGTTCTGGGCATATTCATACCATCCTGGAGTTCGTGCCTCTCTGGATTTGAGTGTGGTCAGACAGCTTCCCTTCCAGCCCCCTCCTTCGCTCCCCTTCGTACCCCGCCCACTCTCATCTCATACTTCTCCCCCTCGTCTCCTTTCCCTCGATCGGACGTCGGATGATACATCTTCACTCAGGTCCTGAACACAAGCGAAAGTCCGACTTCTGATGATGACGACTCGGCAAAAGCCACCACCATTCAGAGCTGTTGGCTCACGTTCCATCTGTGCTGTGCTGTCCCAGCAGCACCGCCGGCACGCGGGGCCTCACCACAAACACGTGCTCAGACTTGGAGGGCCCGCCTAGGGTGACAGTCGTGGCAAGGAGCCTCGCCCAGCTAGATGCCAGGACGGGGATACCATGGTTGCCCACGCCGCTCCAGCTGGCTTATTCACAACGTTACCGAGCGCCGCCCTTGACGTGAGTGCTTTCCTCACGTGCAAAGTACGGGACGTCTGTTCGGAGGTCGCCCGTAAGCTGTCTGCAAGGCTGCCGAGCTGCGCGCCGTACCGCAAGGGTCCCACCCTTCCAACAGTCAAGTCTTGGCTCGCGTGGGTCAACTACAAACTTGGTAGCTGGTGTTGGCTGCAAGTTTAGGGTGTCCTTGACGCGGCGCAAGCAGTGATCGGAGATTGGGATCTCGAGATTCCGCCAGCGCACAATACCCATCACCCCATCACCAAAGCCAGCGGAGCGCCAGCTCCCGAGCATTGTAGGCTCGCCGACGGGGAACGCCAGCGTCTTGCGCGCGGCACGGCCGAGACAAAACTCCAGCCGAACGAACGTTGGCCCCACGCCCGGAAGATCTTCCAGCGTCTGAGGCCGGCACCGGCAGGCACGGCGGGTTGTGTGGGAGATCCCTGGTGCTGCCTGGCATCTGCGTGCTGACGTTTCGTCTCGGGCGCATCCCCTTCCCCGCCTCCTGCGCTCCCGTCCCTTCCACCCCTCCGCTGCGGCAGGTTCGTGCCACGTCAGCGCCGCGGCGACCCCAGCGTCGGCGTTCAGGATTGAGCACGGGCAGTTTCCCAGTGTGTCCCAGAAGCGGCCGACGACGAACGATCCGCGCTATGGGAGAGCCGCGATGGTACAAGGTTGAACGATCTATGCGGTGTCAGAAACCAACGCCGACGTCAGCACGAGACGAACCCAGCGTGCCCTGCATCTCTTTGATGCCGCCCCCCAGAATTCCATGACGCGGATGTCTAAGCATTGTTTTGAAGGTGAGGAAGGGTCCAGCCATGTCGGGGCGAAGCCTGCGGTACCTCTCGTTGAGTTCACGGCGGTGTGGGGATTGTTTTGGTGGTGCCCGAAGCAGCGGTCGAGGAGTGGATGCAGTCTAAGTCGGTAAAGCGGCATGTCTCCTGAGTCCTGCGGCAGGAGGCAGCGGTCGAACAGGGGATGTGGAGGGAAAACGCCTCGTGAGTACTTGGACATCTACGTCCCGAAGGAGGCACCTCCCGTCCCGTCCCGCATGCAGTTGGTTGGACTGACCGAGGCGCAGAACCAGCAGCGAAGCATGTGGGAGCGAGGGGGCACGAGTTTTTTGTCTGTCAAAGGGCCGAGCCTGTCAACATTGAAGTTCGGCTTCCAGTTTGGATTTTGCATCGACGACGCCTCAGGCGAGTCACCGCCTCCCTCTTAGTGGAACCCCAATTGGAGCATCCTGATGCCTCTTGGAGACTTGTGGGCTGGTCGTGGGGCCTCTTCGGCCCTGGCGACTTCTTTCCAGGGCCGCCCTGGGTACCTCTTTGAGCAGCCATTTTTGAGGCCTCCTGGTATTTCTTGGGACACTCTTGGGCCGCCCTGGTGCTCTCTCGAGCCGTCTTGGGTCCCTCCAGAGGCCTCAGCCAGCCTAGCCAGCCCAGCCCAAATGCTGGTGGCCGCGGAAGCTTTTCGAAGCTCTCTCCCTAGCCAGCTCAACCAGCTGTGCTGGGCAAACTGGCCCAGACAGCCTCTTCACCGCCATGATCGCGGTTGCTTCTCGTCACGTCCCGTATGCTTTCGGCGATGTCGATCGACCGAACATGCTTTTGAATATAGCTACAGTCAGGGCTCCCCTGGGCTCATTTCGATGGCCGTGCGCTGGCCCGATCCTGCCGCGCCGGGCGCGCTTGCAGGATGACGTGCATGGAGCCTTGCGCTCCTGCATGCGGCGGTGCGCGCCAGGGGCAGTTACGCCCTCTAGGCGCCGTCTTCTTCGGTTACCGTCGTTAGTGCGAGCGAGCCTTGCGCCCGGTTCGCAGTGAGCTACGCGTTGAAGTCGGACCGAGCGCAAGGGGGGGATCTGGAATGGCGGGTTTCCGAAGTTTGCTGCATGTAGCTGGTTTGGGCCCCGCCGCCAGGCCCATTCCTCGATACACGGGCGCCTCCCGGAGCCAGGAGGCGCCAGGGAAGCCAGCTACGCGATCCGATCTTCAACCCTACCCTTGGCTGTCCCACGCTTTTGTCATCTCCGATGAAGTCTCTTGGCATCGCTCGGATATGATGATGATGATGATGATGATGATGATGATGATGATGATGATGATGATGATGATGATGATGATGATGATGATGATGATGATGATGAGGAGGATGATGAGGATGATGAGGATGATGATGCTGCTGTTGATGATGCTTATTAGTATTCTTGTGATTATTATGATTCTTACGGTTCTGATTAGTATGAGTATGATCAGTCTTATTATTATGATTTTGATTATGTTTATGATTCTTCTTCTTCTTTTATTATTAG